TGGCAAGAGTGCCGATCGCGGGAACCGATTACTCCTCCAGACCTTATTCTTACGATGACGTCGACGGAGACCTTCAGCTCAAACACTTCGCCCTCCAGAAGGAGGACTTGGAGTTGAAGGTAATGTCTAACCATTGACTCATTATAACCATTATTTTAGTGATTAGTTTAATTAAGTGCCAATTATTTGTCGCTAATGAATATGGAGTGTAATTATGTTTCTAAATGCAATATTAATTAGTAAATTATAGTAATTATTAAAACGATATATTTAACAATTTACGCCAAAACTTCACACCAGATGTCACACATTGTACTGTAAGTTAAGAAGTTTTGCGTTTGAATCAAAGTTTGAATTATTTGTTGAAAACTTATTTATAAATTATTAATTAATTAATTAAGTCTCTCTAACATTGACTGCGCCAACAGATCCCATACATAAAACGTGCCCAATCGGTCAGCCCTAACGGGTTTCGCCTGTTTGGGAGCCCGTGGGCGCCCCCGGCGTGGATGAAAGACAACCACAAATTCAATGAAAGCGGTGCCCTTAGGGGGCCGATAGGGGGCCAGTATTACGACACTTTTGCCAACTATTTTGTTAAGTAAGTGCCGGTCATTGAAACTCATGTCAGTATATTAGCCGACAATTACCCCCCGAAACACGCATTCCTAACACTAAAAGCATACAAAAATGTTTTTGACCGCAGATTTCTGGACGCATACAAGAGTGCGGGCATTGAGTTCTGGGGACTGACGGTGGAGAACGAGCCCATACAGGGGATGATGAATAAGAAACACCCATTCAATTGCCTGAACATCAGTCCGTCGGCTGAGGCGGACTTTGTGCGAACCAATTTGGGTCCGGCGCTCAAACGGGCCGGCTATGGGTCGGACAAATTGAACTTGATGATTTACGACGACTCGGCCGCCCAGATAGAGGACTACGCCAACGCTACCGTGGCTTCCGGTGCCGCGCAGTACGTGTCGGGCATTGCCTATCACTGGTACGGCAACGATAAACTCAAACACGGCTTTCCCGACCAAGTGCTGGACGACATGCACCGACTTTACCCCCAATGGTTTGTACTCAACACAGAGGCCTGTCATTTGGACGGACTCGGGATCGGCAGCTGGGAGTACGGCATGCGATACGCCTTTGATATCATTCGGGTATGTATTCAATCACTTTATGCCTATTACTGGTGCTATTAACACACTTTCCCATCCCTTATGGTTGTATATCAGGTGCTTAACCATTGGGTGAACGGTTGGGTTGAGTGGAATCTGGCGGTAGACATGACAGGAGGCCCGCGTTGGCCAGAAAAGCAGGGCTACGGACACGCTATTAATGTAGACCCAGTCCGGGGCGAGGCCTATAAGAACCCCTCGTTTTACTCTTTGGGACACTTCAGTAAGTTTTTGCCGAAAGACTCGCTTCGGATCAGACATCGGGTGACAGTCAGTGATGACGACTCCGGTGTGTCTGTACTGACGGCCAAACGACCCGACAATCAGATTGTTTTGGTTGTGTTGAACACCAATAGTGAGGAACGGGTACTGAATGTGAACACTTCGGGTCAGTGGTTGTCCCATACGATCCCCGCCTATGGCTTACAGACATATATTTGGTGATCATTTTGTGGCCACTTATGTCTCAATTGATTAATTAATTTATTGGTTTAATAAATAGTCATTAATTAATAAATTGAATTTATTAGAGAACTAATTATGAAATACAATTTTAAATGTGTTTTGACAACAATTTTTGATAATATAAGGTTAATAAATGTAAAATGTAGAGAAAAATTCAAATTATAATAAAATAAGTATTTGTTTTACAAGTAATTGTGAGAATTAAGACAAAATTAGTTGAATATATTTCTAAAATCAATTTTAATTTAAAAGTAACATTTAAATGAATAATAAAAAAATTGACAATCGTTTAGACATAAGTGTCAAATACATAATAAAATCACTAATTAATGTCTTCCAATTGAAGATTAACTTTAGGACAATTAGTGATGAGATGATTGACAGCCAATTGTGTGCTATTATTAGTGCCCATGAGTTGAATGCAACGGATTTGTGTCAGACTTGACAATGAATTCAACGCCCCGTCGGTTATCATCACTCGTTTGACTCTCAGATCCAGAAGTTGTGGTAAATTGTTGTGAATATCAGTGAAAAAATTATCACTCAATAGAGGACAAGTCCAAAGGGCTTTGATTAAATCAATACTCAAATGAGTTAATCGTTTCAATGAATTCAATGAACCACTTGTTATATGCAATTCGCTATCAAATACTATATTGAGTTTCAAACGTTTTAATTGTTTAAAGTTATCATTAATTATTGGCAACACTTCACTCGCAGTCTTCCGATAATTTACGGACAAACTCTTGATTTGTGGACATTTGAGACCGATTTGTGTCAATATTAAAACATTGCTGTAATAATGGATTTTGAGATCAATCAATGCCGACATGTGTGACAATACGTCCGCTACTCTGGAAACTGAATTATCTTCAATATGTTCGCAACGAAATCCAATTGACTTAATATTGTGGCCGTAATTGTGAGCAAACAATTCAAATGCATTTAATTGATCGGCAATTGTGTTAATATTGTATGCATTGAATGTCAAGTGAATACTTTTGAGTCGTTTATAATGCAAACCATTTTCAGCACTCAATACGAGACGAGTTGACGACAACTGATTGCAATGAATGTGAATTTGCGACAAATTGACAGATCGTTCAAACGATTCATTGATTTCATTGTTGTAAACACTTGTTGTCAAGCGTTTGGCAAACTTTTCAAAAAACTGGTTAATAGTTTCAATACTATTAGTATTGAAACGACAGTCGAATAAACGAAAATTACCATCACTTCCATCTTCTTCTTCAGTAAAGACACACCTATTGAGCCGTATATAGAGACTAATGTCTGTTAAATGATTGCAATGTTTTGTAAGCAAATCAATCACTGAATCATCTAAAATGATCACAGAATAGGAATCGCTATTATCTTCACCGCAAACGCGTGTAATGTTTGGACACTTTATCAGTATTTTCTTAATTATATCCAAATTTCTTTGAATTAATTTTGAATCAATACTTAACACAAATTGTCTCTTATATATCAATCGCTTCCACTGTTTGGACACCAATTCATATCTCAATTTGTCTTCAAATGTGAGGAAAGACAACAACTCTTGGCATAAGTCGTCTCCAAATCTATCGAAAGAGTCTTTGCTATAGATTTGACACATTTTTCACACAAAATGATTGAAACAAACAATTAATACAACAATTATTTAATCAGTAATCAATCAAAACATGTGTTTGTCTTCAATATAAGGCTCAACGGAAACAGAAATGACTAAAAAGTAATACAATTCATAGAAAACGTTGTGTTAATCAAAACATTGAATAACATTAAGTAATTATAAATTATAAAATAGTGATTTTGATTAAAACAGTATTAATATTAATTGTTTCAATAAAATGGTTTAAAATCAGAAAATATCTATGAACTAAATATTTTACTCACAAAATGAGTACACTATGAAAATAACTAAAATGTTTTACAAAACATCAAATTATATTTACAACAAATTTACTAAATACTATATGCAGAAAATGTATTTTACTTATGATTAGAATTTGTAATCATTAAAACTTATGTTGAATACAATATCAATCGGAAAAATCAAATAAGAATTACAATTAAATTCATTTAAATTCATAAAATATATTCATTATAATTATGTTCACTGAAATTATTTTAACACAATCTTTATTATAATAAATAAATGTTTAATACAGTTGTGAAACGATTTACATGTTATTCATTAAAAGAAAGTAATTTCTAATTTAAAATATTATAATTAAAGAGTACATCAAATATATTTTAAATATTTAATTTGAGAAATATTTGTAATAATATTGAGAAATATTGTAATAAAAAGTAATGATAATTATTGACAACACTTTTCAATCATGTCTTTTGAGACAAAAACATAATTATTTCAATACAAATGTCTTAAATCTCGTGTTTTAAGAGTCTTTTCTCATCTGAAGATTAATTTTAGGCCAATTAGTGATGAGATAATCGACAGAAACTACATCTGAGGTATTATTACTGCCCATGAGTTGAATGCAACTGATTTGTGTCAGTCTTGACAATGATTTCAACACTTCGTCGGTTATCACCACTGGATTCAGTCTTAGATCCCGAAGAAGTGGTAAATGTTTGTGAATATCAGTGAAAAATGTGTCGGTCATTGGAATTACTGGATATCTCGTTAAATCCCAACAATATTCGCGATCTATTGTCAAATGTGTTAATCGTTTCAATGATTGCAATGAATCGCTATCTAAACACAAATCATAGAAAACAAGTCCATTGATTTGCAATCGTTTTATATGTTTAAAGTGATCAACAATTGGTATAACGAAGTGATCAGTCATTGGGAAACATTCAGAGACACAATAAATGGCGAGACTCTTGAGTTGCGGGCATTTGGGACCAAATCGTGACAATAGATCAGTAAAAGGCTGGCTCTCCATAAGTTTGATCTCAAGTCTGAGAGCAATTAATGCCGGCATTTGTGACAAACCATCCGATAGTTTGTTGATTATATTGTCGTTCAATTTCATGTAATCAAAATCAAATCCAATTGACTTAATATTGTGGCCGTAATTGTGAGCAAACAATTCAAATGCTGTCAAATCATTGTCTGTCGGCTTATAAAAGGCTTTGAATACAAATTCAATACTTTTGAGTCGTTTATAATGCAAACCATTTTCAGCACTCAATACGAGACGAGTTTTACATAAATCTTCAAATGACAAATGAATTGACGTCAAATTAAGGCATATTTCAAGACATTTATATGACATATAATTGTCGGGTAAATACATCAATGATATGTTTGTTAATTGTTTGGCAAATCCTATCATAAATCTGTTCATTAAATCCACGGATTTGTCATTAAAAGTGCAATTAATGTGATTTAAATGATTGCAATGTTTTATAAGTAATTCAATTAATGAATCGTTGGGTCGAATATAATAACAAATACGTGTAATGTTTGGACACTTTATTAGTATTTTCTTAATTATATCCAAATTATTATTAATTAAGTTATTATAAAAGTTTATCTCAAACTGTGTGTTGAATATCAATCTCTGCCACTGTTTTGATAGACATTCACAACGAAATCGGTCTTCAAATGTGAGGAAAGACAACAACTCTTCGCACAAATCGTCACCAAATCTATCGAAAGATGATTTGCTATACATTTGTGGCATTTTTCACACAAAATGATTGAAACAAACAATGAATACAACAATTAAATCACAACTCAATCAAAACACGTGTCATTTAAAACAAAATATTTTGTTTATAAAAAGTAGTCAACAAAACCTGAGCGCATGTCTTATGAGTTATCCATAAATAATATTCTGAATTCTTATAAATAAATTAGCGTGAATAAAAATTACCTTTTTTTTAAAGATTACTTCCAGGTAAATTTACCGGTAATAATTACCTGGTAAATTTACCTACAAAAAGCTCACTCAATAGATGGCGATAGCAAAAAATGTCCCAAAATTTTGCAAAATGTGGGGGAAAACACCCATTATACCCCCATTTATAAATTACATAAATTACCTCAATTATAAATTACGTAAATTTACCCTAAAATTACGGTAATTAATGGTAATTTATATAACTTACTTAAATTACCTGCACGCTAAAATAAATTCAATTAACAGTAACATTAAAATGAAATGAATTTCTTATTGCCATAAATAGGTCTCAAATTCTGTTCCCATTATACTATGGCTTGAATTCCGAGTGTAAGACATGTGTTGAGAATATTCTCTATATTTATATTTTAACGCAATTTATTGTTTGCGTAAATACAGTGCAACCCCTCCATAGCGAACGGCCAAATGCATGACTAAATCGTTCGTTATAGAGAGGGTTCGCCCAAGAGGGTATAATTTAAAATGTCGATAAAATCATTTATTATATAAGAATTTAATGGAATAATATGCAAACATAAATGCTTTTTAATTATTTATTGAATTTATTTAAAATAATCAGTAATTTTTGTTTGTTTCGCGGAATTAAAATGACATTTAAATGCTTTAGACTTAATTTTATCCAATTCTTGAAATAATTCATCATTACATAAATCTCTCGAAGAAAAATATGATTTAATGGTACCTATTGCTTGAGTAACATCTAATAAATTTGGGGGAGAATATTCACTCTCTTCAACGTCTGTATCTGATCCCGAGTCATCCAAAACCATTGACTCTGTTGTCTCTATTCCTTCATTTATCGCTTCAGTTGTGATCTCTTGAGCGACAGCTAAATTGCTATCGATGTCCACATATTCATCAAAATTTATTCCATCAACCAATGAATGAAAATTTTCATTTATATCATTATTTGATTCAGTGTCGGATTCATTATCAATTAAAACTTCAGTATTTTCTTGTTTGAATCCACATTTAGCGAAACAATTAGAAATAGTGGTTGGTTTTATTTGATCCCAAGCTGTTTTTACCATATTAACACAATCTAATAATGAAATGCATTTCGGGTCAACAGTTTTA